TGGTATCCATCTAATTCTTCTCTCCACTATAAAATATTCATGTGTTTAATGCTTGTTAATGCAATGATGATTTTGAGGTTCCCCATTTATACAACAACATTTCATTCTAGGACCCAAATATGCAACATTGTAACTGGACCAGTTACCTTATGACACTTGGCACATGAATTATGCAACTAACGCCTAACAGGTTAAACAAGTTAAGGTAAAATACTAAAATGTTGCATATTTTTGTCCGACAATGGAACTTGGTTGCATATTTTGTTGAAACAACCACTTTGTTGCATAAATCAGGAAAAAAGTTGAAACAATACAGCATAAACAAACATTTGACCTTTTTAGAATTTGTACCTTATGTTTTAATAATATTTGCTTATTTGTACGATTTTCTGGTAAAAAAAATCGTGGTGTTTGGGGTTCAATAACCTTAAAATATTTTAAGAACCTTGAACCTTAGCACAAATGTGGTTAGGCTTTTTAAACTTCATCCTCATTTTGTGGTTAACCTTTATTTAGGTTAGCGGGTTAATCTGTCTATACACAAAACAAAAAGACTTTGAATTTGTTTTGATTCATGTTAATCAGTAATTTTCACTAATTATTTTAGTATTAATATTATATTTGAACTAACAAAAAGAAAAAGAGTAAAGAAAAATTAGTGGAGCTTTGGGATTTCAGTGCAAGAAAAAAGTTTGAAGTCAAGTTGTGGGATTTCTGATTAGTTGGTCAGGAATTTTAATGTTTGAGATAATGTGAATTTGAAATATTTTACTTTAACTTTCTAATATTAAGTAGGTCTATTTTATCTTTTAAAAAAATATGTATGTAATTATATGTGAACACCCCTGAAAAAAAAATGATACTTAGGCCCTATTTTGTTTTATTTTTCTATTAAGTGTTATTTGGATAAATATGTAAGAAGTTAGGACTTAATGGGAAAAGCCTCTTTTCCCTAACTTACTCTTTAAATCGTTCTTTCTGCCTTAATTTAAAAAGAAACACCCATATATAGCTTACTAGATTTGTCGTTAAAATATGCATATATGTTTCTTTGTCTGTTTATATTTATATACTTATATTTCTGGAAAATTCAACCTTTGGTTAGAAAGTAAGACTAGTAAAAAAAATCAAAAGATGATATATGGTGATCATATCTAAATTTAATATCAAAGTGATCAAATATAATTTGAATCACACGACAGGAGCAAAATTAAATATCTAATACATTTTTTTTCCATATAATCTTCTTTTTAACCGATCATATTCGTTTGAACTATTCTCTTCCATTTGCACCTTATTTGATGTTTTATACCAATAACTGTTTTTGTTGCATTATTTTATAATTACTTTATCATTCATATTAGCAAAGAGAGTAAAGTACATTGCTATTTCCCACAAATTTGTCCTTTATTGAAATTGTGAAGATTTTAGGCATGAAGAGTAAAGTACGTTGCTATTTCTGACATTTTTGTATGATTTGTAGTGTTGGCGACAGACGAAAAGTACAATGAAGCGGTTTATAGTACTGCTAAACGGCTAGTTGCCGCAATCGACGGCCTTCCGGATCCTGGTGGGCCCGAAGCTAAGGAAAACAAAAGGGAATCAAACTTTAAAACTAAGGAAGAGACAGCCGAGAAAAGAGATCAGTTTACACTTGTTGTCGGAGGTTTGTTGGCTATTGCTTTTGTTGTTCCTATGGCACAATACTACGCCTATGTCTCCAAAAAGTAGTTATGCTTATGCATGTCTAGTCGTATAAAATCGTGTTCATGGAATACAAGTGAGGAATGTAATTAGAAAATTGATATTTTAAATGTGGATTTGTATTGTTTACCGAAATGCACTTGTTGTTAGTTGCTCTAGCAATGTACTTTAAGGCCTCATTTGTTATGCAAAACACAATATGATAAACAAATTCTATTGCATTTGGCGTGCATTGAACCGAGACTGAGATCGATGTCAATGGGACAGTGAGAGTGGGATCGAGGGCATTCATGTCTTTTGCACATATGGAAAATTGAGAGAGAGTCACTCTCCCTTGGACTTTTTGGGTGCGAAAAAATTACAATTTAATGGGGATTGCAATTTTAAAGAGACACAGTATCTTATCTTATGTCGTATCATGACAAAAAAATGGTACATGTCATGTCATTAATGTCAAACACAGTACAACATATACAACATGTTATGCGGGACCTAGGGGAGACCGTTAGTCTTAAACATATGATACAATTTGTATAAAATGAAATATAAATATAACTTCGATAAATTTATGGTTTATTTGATAACGTCTTGATTACAATCTGAGCTTTTAAAACTTGAGATTTAAAAGAAACGGCATTTTATCAGCAAATGGTGGATCGGAAAACTTTCCGGTGAGTATTTGTGAAGCAATGTGTTGATTTGCAGCTTCGGTGTAGTGGATTCCATCCCAATTCACATATTCAGTGGTATCATTACAAACTGTTGTTGTAATCGAGGTACCGTTTATGGTTTTTGTTTGGCCACACGCCACTTGGCTGTTGTAGTTTAGTGGTGGACCGCCGTACCCACAACATGCACCCGTTGGTTGTTCAAAACCTACAAATTCAAACATAACACAAAAAGGTTACTGAGTATGTTTGGCAAAACTATAATTTGGTCTTACATAAAAGTTAAAAGCTACTTGAATAGGGGCATTTAAGTCTTTTGACATGGATATCTTGTGTCTTACATCGTTTCGTTTTAATAATAAAGTAGCTGAACTATATATTCGATACTGTATGGACAAAAAGATACTTTGGTCTACAAGTTTATACCTAAAACTTTGATTATAAATAGAAACTATTAACATATTTACTCTTATTTAATATAGTTAATATACTTTATCTTTTACTCATATATTTATATCTTTTACACATGATAACAATATATTTATATTTAATTTCCAAAAATAGCAATATATAATTTAAAAAGCAGTAAAATATCATGTTACATATTACTGTACTATATCATCTGTAAAGAAATGAAGCTATAAATACATTATTTAAAATGTAAGTACATTAACTTAAATATGTTCTGTAAGTATGTTGTTAATATCGTAAGGAAAAGAAAATATGTTACTATCATGAAATAAAAAATATTAATATTACGCTGCTATCGTGTATATATATATATATATATATATATATATATATTATATATATATATATAGTATATATAAAATATTAACAGTTGTTTATGTTATAAACTTATAATTTGTAATTTTTTATAAACTTAATCACATAATAATCATGTTTGCATATCAACCAATCCGTATCACCTACAGAAACTAAATCATATCACATATTCACATGTTTGTCCTTTTTTTGAAATTTGCACTGTTTCATATCCTCCATGTGACTCGATATTTGTTTTCTTTCATTTCACCATGACACTCCCACGTGGGGGGAATATGGAGTGATTTAACTGGTTTTTTAATCAGCTTATTTTTTTTATTAATTACCATGTATTTTGTCATATATATGTCACTTATTAAATAATACACTAAACGTGAATTTATGAGAGAGAAGCGCTAACCGTATTTCGAGTAATTTGCAATGAGATTAGATTTAATTTTGAAGATGTCGACGTGGGGTGACATTTGCGTCTGAATATTGCCCTTGCAATTTCGTGGCAAGTGCATGTAGTTGTATATTGAATAGATTAGCCGCTTGGTTGTGTGTAGAAACACAACCAAGGGAATCGAGCTTTGAGGGATCTGTCCCAAACTTTGCAATGTTTTGGGCCAAGCACCCAAGTGGGCCCGTGTTATGAATCCAAAAGTTTCTTGCACCATCATCATATAATTTCTGAAAAAAAAATATATACGAGTGTGAACATATGTATATTTGTATTTTGACTGTTAAATGTAACAAATAGCAATGTATTTTCATTGTATTATGCATTATACTATTCTATCTTCATTTCTTCCTATTATAACAATGCTTCTAGAGAATCCAAACACAAAACAATTTTTATCTCCGGATGCAAAACAATTTTCACGGCTATAATGGACCAAAATTTCAGAGTATGATGTCCTAATAAGAAAAAAAATTAAAAGTACAATTTTGTAATTATGAAAAATTATTGAAAGTACAGTGTTGTAATTGAAAGAAATGAAACTAGGATTGGTGTGATAATGCACAAATATATGAAAGTATGTTTCTATTTCTTAACAATCAGAAGAGCAAAATGCAATGGTATTTTAAGGGTTGAATGCAAAAAATAGATATGAAGCTATGATGTTACAAAACACATATAAATGAAAATACATTGCTATTTCTTCTAGTCCATCATGTTTTAAATCCGAAATTATTTATTGATGTAAGTGGATGATATCAATTTGGTCAAAAGAAACTGAAACTAACCTTGATTCCGGCTTCAAATTCGGCTAAAACCAATGGAATCGAAGCCACAATTTGATCGAAAGATTTTGAGTAAAATGCACCAGCAATATCATTTTGGCCTATGTCGAACATATAAAGCCCATGGCTAAAGTAGTCTTCATCAGGTAAATACTTGTTGAACCTTTTTGCTGCCAATGGACGAGATAAAAATTAACGTTTTTTCTCATAATTTCGTCCATTCCTTGGTCTATCCATGTATGTATTTACGTATATGCATGTATGTATGATATGGAATTTCGGTCATAAAAGAGAAATCTTATATCTATTTTCAAATTTCAAACCATAGAAAGTATAGTATTATGACTTACACTTGGCTTGCAACTGAAGAACCCGACTCTTGAATCGAAAAAATTGAGCCACTTGTATCCCAAATGAAAACGGACTAACGGCGTTTACGGACGGGGGTAAAATAGTTGATCCAGCAGCTGCGAAATTGCATCCTTTGCGGAAATTTGGCACACCAAGAGCTTCCAAGTACGCGTTTAGGAAAGGCAAGTCCATCGCATCCACTACAAGAACACCATATATGTTCTTAGATACAATACAGATATATAAAATATATAGATATAGATATAGATATAGATATACATATAGATAGAGAACTAACTTAAGAAATCAATGATAAGACGACCGTCACAAAACCTCCCTGACGGTCCTTTAAAATAAGTCTGACCGTTAGGGGACTCGAGTTTATCACCGACACCGGCGACTAGGTCGCCAGTGTCGGAATTCGAGTCTCCAAAGTTAAAAACCGCTGGATAATTGAACTCGATGCCATTGGTTAGATGTGGTATGCAGAAAATGAACAGTAGAAGAACAAGGTGGTTCATATCTTGGGGGGGTGGGTGGGTGGGTGGTAGGGGTAGGGGGTAGAGGGTAGAGGGTAGTGGTGTTCTAAGTTCTAACAGCAGCAACCAGGTATGCTTTATGTATATTTTTGTAATGGTGGTGGGTTTCTGAAGGAGTGCTGGTAGGCTTTTGTTTGTAACTGAAGTTTGCTTTGAGGTCACTACTGATGTGAAATTTATTATATCCTTTAATGTGAAAGGACTGCTATATCCTTGTAACCTTATTGTGAATTACTTTTATAACCTTATTAGTTAAGCAGTCAAGGGTGATTCTGTTCTATTGTCAACTAATTTGGGACTTTTTGGTAGGGTGGGTTTAAGACTTTAAGTCTCGGCTGTTAATTGATGAGTGTGATGCTTAGTAAACAACGTGGTGTTAAATGTTAATTAAGTAGCTTTATAGAAAGGCAAATAGTAAAAGTTGCTTTCAAGAAAGGCAAGCCATGGCTTAAGATCTCTGACCTTTCATAAACAAACGTGGTGTCAAATTCTGACAAACAATTACCTAAATATGTCACTTTAATAACTAAAAGTTTTTTGTTCGTTAAGTATATCAACTATATTTTTCAGTTCAGATCTTATAAAAAAGATGGGTCCGAGTGATTATAAATTTGATATGTAAATTTTTGGTGATGTAAATTGGGTTGATTCCATAAAATAAAATAATAATAATAAAAAAACAAACAAAAAAAACTCATATGTTTTGATGTTTTTAGGGTATAAATATAAAATTATTTTTTAATAAAAATTCTAACGTTTATTTTTTTATTTTTTTATTTTTAGCAGGTTTATCGAGTAAGTAATGTTCTGGTAATACATATTTTTTTCCCCGAAAATTCACATCCATCTGAGTTTTTGACTAAAGAGTTCAAAAAACATTTTTCCGAGCATAATATGTTATATGACTATATATATGACACAAGAAATAGCGTTTTCATGCCTCGAAAGATTAAATATGCAACATTTTGACATCAAATAAATATTGAATTATTAAAACAAAATTTATATCAATCAATTCAAAGATGTTGTAGGACTATATGTCAAAAAAAATGCAAGCTAAAAAGTATGCTAAAACCACGTTATGACTACCCATAAGGTACTTACAAGATCATGACAACCACCTAAAACATGATGCAAGTTATGAGTTTGAGAAATTATTTCGGTAGACCCGCTAATGCAACCAATAAGGTTATGAAACATCATTGTGACCACTTCTTGTTGAGTGTACAACAATGCCATCACCAAGGGAAATAGTCTTTCGGTTGAGATGTGTAGCAAATGGCCCATTGATGCAAAGTTGCAAACAATAGTTCTTTTAGCATGACATAACTTTGAAACTAACTCAACGCCAACCCATCTTAGAAACAGGTTGGTGGACGACTCTATAAAGTAAAGCCTAACCTATGGCATAAATTCGTGGAAGCGACCGTTCAACCAATCACGTAATCAAGAATCAAGAGCAAACAACCTTGGGAACACAACAACAAGAGAGAAGGATCCACACCAAATATCTTTCTAAAAAGTCAACTTACTAAAGCACAAATAGGCATGAGTACACAGTCAAGAAAATCCATATCTTCAAAGGATGAATGGAAGTTGCTAATTCTCAATCATGGGTCAGATAGTTTAGTTTATGCACCTTCAACTGACGATGCAACGTCCCAAAAAACATACATAAAATTTTTCATTTTTAATTTATCAATTCACATAGTATTTGTCTAAAAACCCATGTAGTATCAAATATATCATAATTATCAGAGTACAATAATAGTCATCAATGCGGAAAATCACCAGGGGATAATATTGTGGAGTCAAGCCGGGCCCTTCCCTTTAGAACTGGAAGTACATGAAAACATTCAAACCATAAACCGTAAGCACAAAGCTTAGTGCGTTTCCCAAAATACCACATACCATACATACATTGTCATGGGCTACCCATATGGTCTTTAATACCATTGCTATGGGTCGCCCACATGGTCTTCCCTTGTAGTGCCTTGGCTACCCTAAGGTCTTATACACAAGTGTCATGGGCTACCCCTATGGCCTTTCATACAAATGTCACGGGGCTACCCCTGGGGTCGTCCATGCAAGTATCACATAAACTACTAGCAACATACACAATATAGTGAGAAAACTCACCTGTCTCATGAAATCAACTAAGAACATAGCTTGCTGCCACACGAACGATGCTACGACCCACCTATTGAATAAAAAAAAGGTTTCACCTTAGTCTAACCTCTAAAACTAGCCATTTTGACCAAAAGTCAAACCATGTCAACAAGTCAACGGTCAACTCTTCCATTAGCTAACCCTCACGTCGTGACTAGCTCAAGGTCACGTGGTGGGACTCAACCCGGTCCCAACTCAATCATGATTTAACCTAACTCGGCTCAACTCAGTCTCGATCTAACTCGTTGTCACGCCGTGATGTACTGGTCATCACGTCGTGACGGAGATCAATCCAAAATAATCGGGGAAGACCCTAGTCCTCACGTCGTGACACTAAGGGTGTCACGTCGTGAATGTTGGACATTCCACCTTAATGGATTAAGCCATTTACCATCGATTCCACAAGCTCCAATTCTCAGATCTGATTCGCCCCAAGGTCTTAATGGATAAAGTTTCCAACTTTATCCATTGAGACATCAATCTAAGTCAAGATCTCGAGTCCAAGGTTCTTAATGACAAATTTAAAGCATGTAATAATCCATTAAGCACTTAATTCATGAAGTATTCAATCCATAACTTCTAGAAAGGCTTTATGTAACACCCAGAATCTAGAAGATTAATTGTGGAAATAAATCCCCTTTCCTAGGGACCAACATGTCGAGTTGATGATGGGAAACTCGACGTGTTGGAGGCTTTTGGGACACGCGTTTTTATGGACTAACTCGGCGAGTTAGGCGCTGATTGAGAATCCCTAATTTTTAGGGTGTTTCACTATATTTAAAGGCCTTAAGTTCTTTGGCTGGCCTCCTTACCAGCCTCCTTTGTCCAGAAACCCTAAAATCGAGCATTATCTTCTAGTGTTAAGAGTGTGAGTTGGGGAGAGCCTTGAGTGTTCATTTTTGGTGCATGATGAAGGAGTTAAGGAATTAGGAGTTGCTTGGCTTGAAGAAGAAGTCTTGGATCCAGAATCTCTGTCTCAGTTGCCAAGTTTTTGAGGTATCAAGTTCTCACCTTGCTTATTAGTTGCCTAGATCTCTTCTTGGGTTAGATTTTATGCTTTTTAGCCATGGTTGGGTGGATGTTGGGGATTAGGACGTCCCAAATGATTATTCTTTCATATCTAAGGTCTTCATGAGCTCTTTTGGCATAAAGGTGCCAACTTTATGGATTTAAGGGCTTCATGCATTCATTAAGTCTTTCATTTAGCCCTTTTTGAGCTTTTGAGCTCCCCCTAGTCTTGCTTAAACGTAAAGTTGGAAATTTTATGTGGCCATCTAGCCTTATGGGGTCAGATCTGCATTTTGGGGGTTATCTTTGATGATTAAGTGCTTAATGGTTAAGCCCTCACTCTTTTAAGTCTATGGTTTGAGTTTGGACCCATTTAGGTGGTTCCTAGGGGTAAATTTGGAAACTTTACCCTTTTAGATATCATTTTGGTCGAGATTTGAGCTTTGGAGTTCTTGGATCCGGTGAAGGCAGCTTAATGAATTAAGTTGTTGGGTCTCATGGAAACTCGGCGAGTTGTTTTGGTTTTCCCCGTTTCTGAGTTGATGGAGAAACACGACAAGTTGGTTCGTCAACTCGTCGTGTTGGGACGTTGAGGATTATGGATCTTGACTTTTTGACTTCGGTCTTTGTCCAAGTTTGTCCCAAGGAGTGTTGAGGTAATCTGATTTATAGCTTTGGAATCATGGGCTTAGGATAAGGCCCATAAGGGGTTGGGCCCCAATTTGGAAAATTGGGCCATTAGTGGACCTTTGTGGATCTTTTGGTTTTGGGCCTCAGTTTTGGTTCTTGTTGGGTCAGGGGTAAAAGGGTCATTTTACCCCAAGTATGGTTGGTAGGCCTTGGAATGGAATCCAATTGCTAATTGGGTATTATTTTGATCTGGTAGTTTGGAGGTGTCGTCAGGGCAGCAACTAGGGAATTCTTTCAGTGAGCTTCTATATTCGAGGTGAGCCTCCTCACCGTTCTATGGGTCAAAGGCACCAATGCTGACCCATTTGGTTTATGTATTGTAGGAAGACCCGGGGGCGACCCTTGGCATTTTGTATGAAAGACCAGGAGGCGGCTCCTGTCAATCTGTATGCAAGAACAGAGTTTGAACTCTAGCAGTTATTAGTTAAGTAGTTGTAAATTGTATACTAGTTGTCTTTATGATGCTTGCATGGAAGACCAGGAGGTGGCTCTTTGCACTTGTCAGTAAGACCCAGGGTTTTGGCCCCCGGTCTGACAAGGAAGAACACGAGGCGGCTCGTGGAAAACGGCAAGACTATGGATGGCACATAACACTTTTATTAATTGTGATATATGTGAATGATATGTATGGCTTGATGTTATGAATGATAGTTATGGCTCGATTGGTATGTATGGTATGTGGTATTTGGGGAACTCACTAAGCTTTGTGCTTACTGTTTTGTTTATGGTTTCAGGTATTTCTAATTCGAAAAGGAAGGGCCCGACTTGATCGCAGTGCATCAACCCGTATTTTTCCACAAAGTGTGATCTTTGGGAATGAACTCTGATAATTATCTTATTTTTGAAATACTCGAAAATGTTTGGATAAAGTTACAATGTTGTTTTTATTAAAATAAAAATAAAAATTTTACCCTTGATTTTTGGGATGTTTCACTTTAGGGACCCTAATGATCCCGAAAATGCAAACTTTATGGACATGCATTGTAACACCCAGAATTCAGAAGACCTGGAAAGGAAGGAAAAACCCTAAGTCAATGAGTCAACTCGTCGAGTCCAATGAAGAACTCGACGAGTCGGAGCGAGTTCCGTGTCGCGGATTAAGTGGCCGACTCGGCGAGTCTGGTCT